CTTTACTACATGTTTACATTTTTGTGGGTGACATTTTTAATGATTTTTGTGCCAAAGTTTTTGGCTATCATTGATATTTAATTATTCTAATGATTTTGGGTTGCGCAAGTTACTCATTTCTTATTCTTTATGATTGGTTAGCATAATTTGAATGAGGTATCTATGACAGCATTAGAGTTTATTTTCGTTTTGTAAAAACCTAAATGTCTAAACTTTTTAAAAATAAAAAGTTTTTATAATTAACAAGTAATTAACAGACTAAAAAACGTTGTAGCATCAGAAAAAAATTAATGTTCTAATTGTTCTATTTTAATAATTTATAGTTATAGTAAATTTATTATCTAATAAAATAACTCTTAACATGCCCCACCTTAATGGAGACCTAAGGGTAAAAATTGCACACATGCAAAATCATGTTGAATGTACTATTTAAAGAATTTACATATTTATAAAAATTTACATACAATGTTACATACAAAATACATGTTTGTTAAATATAGTTGTATATAATTGAACAAAATACTGGTTATTATATTTAAATAAATTAACTTTAATAATTACTTTTTTTAGCAGAAAAACTGGCAGATATTTCTGGTGAATCTAAAGTTTCTAAAGAATCTATTAAAGTTATTACTTATAACAAACAAAAACTTTCACATTTAATAAAACTTTATAAAGCTAAATAAATATATCTGTAATTTGTCCTGTGTCTTTTTTCTTTTAAAAATTAAAAAATCATTAATAATAACTTGTATATAGTTGTATAAATTTCAAAACATGTAATAATTTAATATACTGATATCCGAAGTGTGCATGATCTAGATCTTTTATTTATAAACATCAATAACACAGGATGAGCACTAAAAGTTCTAAGAATATTTCAAAAACATAAATTTTTATTTAAGGATAAATATATTTTTATAAAAATTTAACCAACACCAATACATTGTGAACATTATCACTTTATTGACTAAGATTCATTGATTAAAAAATCAAACCATGTATTAAAAAGCTGGAATTAAGTAACAAGAATCTAAAAACTTAAGTATAAAATCAAAAAATTTAATGCATATTCTATTTGACAATTTGACAGTTGATTAATTCTATTTGGCAATATGACAGTTGATTGTACAAAGCCAACAAAAAAATAGTTTAGCTTCTTTGAAATTGAATACAAAAATGATAATTGACATTATGTACTCTGGCAAGTAACCAAATTAGCTATTATTCCAAGGAAAAAATGGTCTGCCTAATATTATGTAATTCCTAAACACAAAACACCTTTAATAAATTAAAGCTTTCACACACAATACTTTTATGAAAATAGTTAAAGATTTTAAACTAAGGAGCAATATAATTAACATGACTATTTAGCTACTTTCTTTTTTTTTCCATTAACAAAAAACTTTAATATTTTCTTTTTGAATGCTTCAACAACTTCTTCATTAACATAAAATTTTTAATGTCTTTTTTATACCTTTATTATTTTGAAGGCTGAATAAGCGTAACTTTTATAATGTGAACAGACATAAATGCAAATAAGTGGAAGTGCGAACTTGAAATTTGTGTATTTTTAGCCTCCTGTTTGAAAGCATTTGCTTTTCTGACTGAAAATAGGCTGTTTCTGACTTGGTCCGTACACAAAACAAACACCAGCATTGATGTAGTTTTGGTAAGGATTTTAGTTTTTAATCTCAGAAAAAAATGATGACTTAAACTGCATCATTTTTAAACTTCTATGAGCCAGTGACAGACTTGAGGGTTCCTTTAATATCTGATATAATTTTATTTTTGTAGGGTATGAGGTTGTTCGTGAGCGTAAAATCTTGTATGTCATCTAACAATACCTTCTTTTAATAGTTATATTTTATTTTATAAAAAACAAATCTTTCATTGGATTCATAAAATTCAAAAGTCAATAAATACTTATGTTAACAACTATAGAATCAAGCAGACATAGTTTAAATAACTTTTCAAAGGCTGAAATCAAAACATATGTACACGGATAAAAATAATTTTTCTTTTATGATTTGACATCGCTAAGATAAAAGCAAACCTAATATCAATTCTAATAGGTTTAGGACTTAAAAAAACTTTTTTTGACGTTTTGACGTCATATATATTAAAAATCTGCCCAGTAAGTTTAACACTATGACACAGATTCTAAGTATATGTGGTTGGATTGAAGGAAGTCACACACCAATCATTCCTCCATCAAAAGATGAAAATCCTTTGGCTTTGAGGACCAGATTTGTTTATTTATTATGTTTACCCTAATGGCATGATTCTAGGTGATGGCTTTTGGTTCTATTTAAATTTAATTTAATTTTTTGTTGAATTTTAGCTTAATATTATAATTTATATAATTTATAATTTATTTAATGTTATTTACATAAATAATTTATTATAGATAAATATTTATCTAAACAACATTATTTTAAAAAGTAAAACAGATAAGTATACAACTAGTATTATAAAGTTTTTATTTCATCAGACTTTGTTTCTTATCTAAAATAGATATTGTTTATACATAAACGATTTTAATATTTTGTTTTGAAACATGTTAAAATTATACTCTACAAATATTATACTTTCTACACTTTTCATATTTAGTATATTTAGTATATTAATAACCAGCAAGTCTGAAAAATTTAGATTTCTTATTTAAACATTAGTGTTACCTCAATCAGTACTTTGGGATGCTTTTGAATTCCCTGGTGAACAAATTTTTCCTGGAGCAGTTGTCTTAGGTGATTAAGGCTACCCCTGCAACAATTGGCTCATCACACCTTACAGTGAAAACTACACAGTTTCTAAGTATTGGTTCTAAGCTAAGCATCAGTTCAATGATGCGTACCAAAAAACCAGATAAGCTATAGAGTGATGTTTTTGGGTTTTGAAAAACAGCTTTTACTCTCTGCAAGTACAAAGTCGATTTTTTAATTGTAAAATGCTGCAAAACCTTGTGTGTGCTTGCAAGATTCACAACATGTGCAATAAAGTTGGTGATAAGGGAAGATCTTTCAGTTTTACCTGCCACACCCTTGCCAATACAAGCTAGAGACAACATTCAAGTTGAAACTTGATTAGGAACTTGCAAGAATCAAATACTGCAGCTGTTTAACTGATGTAAATAAAAAATATTTTTTAAATTTTAGTTTTAAAGAATTTATTTAATTAAAAGTTTTTTTTTTTTTAATAAATTTGAGTTTTTCTCTTAATAATATCTTAATAGGTAAATAAACTTTTTTTAAGTTATATGGGACAGGTGATACCAAATACAAAGAGAAAGGTCTTTGGTATTGGAAAGGAAAGTAAAAAAATATAACAATATTATGTAATTTCTATACAAAAATTTATTTACTTATTTTGTTCTGTTCAGGTATGTGCTAGGTTAGAATTAAGTAGTTTTGACATTTGCTTTATTTATGCGGTAGTGGTGTAGTGGTAAAACACTCGCTTCATAAGCGAGAGGTTCCTAGTTTAATCCCCACCACGTCCCTGGTAGTACTGCGCTCAACTTGTTTCTCCGCGAAGTGGCCTTGTTTGTCAAGGTTCGTGTTTCGGAGTTATAAAGTTGAGAGAGGGTTATAACCACTATTAAGTAACCTCCTCATCTGCAGTGGCCTTCTCGGCCTTGAGGATGTGAATAACAAAAAAAAAAAAAAAAAAATTATATCACTACACAAATTATGTTTACACATTAGGATTAATGTTTTTTTTCCATTTTTAGGCCTTTCATTGTTGTTAGCATACTTTTTATTTTGTGATCGGTTTTTTGTTTTATAAGTTTTTTGTCTGGTGATGCATTTGTTGTATATCTTCGTTCATATTGGTGTTAATAAAACAAATTTTTTTCATTATTTTTTTTATTTTATTTTTTTTTATTTTTTATTGTTATTATTGATGAGTACTGTTTTGGGTGTATAGCCTGTCTTATTTATTTTTTAAATATTCTTCTATTAATCTTTATTTTTGTTTTGACAACTTTTTCGCCTTTGCCTAATTTGTTTAAAATTGAATTGAACTGCTTAATTTGTTAAAAAATGAATTAAAATTGAATTTAAAAAACTGCTTTACCTTAATTAATTAATTTTGACCCTAATTTGAGTAACTTATATTGAAAAAATCTTTAACCACATACTCGTCAGCAGCTATCACATTTTGCAGATCATTAAATTAAAGTTAGAACATAAAATAATCCTTAATAGAAATATAAAAATTTAAAACATGTTTAAGCAACAAGTTTTTGATACTTGCATTGATACTTGCTACAATGAAGTTCTTTAATAAATCTCTAATAAAGACCATTTCTTTATGATTAAGGTTCCATTGTTTAGGCATCTTAAGGCATTAAAAATTGAATCTAAGACTGAGCTCGGAGAAGTTACTGCTCAAGAATAACTTCAAGTTACACATCTTAAAATTAAGGCTCGGGTATTTAGGCGTCTTAAGGCGTTAATAAAGTCAAAGTTAAACTAGAGCACAATTTCAAATCACTTGCGAGATCTATTTTTAGATTTTACATTAAAATGCCAATTACATAAAAAAGTCATTGTTTTATAGGGCGGCCTAAATTTTACAATGTAGTTACAAAATTTCAGAGTAATTACATTGTAAAGTTTACAATATTGTAAAAATTTTATAGGATAGAGCCAAGGATTGTTTTGTTTGACTAAGAAAATCTGATAAACATGCTGGTCTATAATTCCACTTTTTTTACTTATCTGACTTTACTCAACCATGAGCCTTGAGGCTCTTGATTTAGTATTTTTATGTATGTTTTTTTTTTTACATGATTAGTATCCTTATGTATGTTCTCATTTAAATGATGATAAATGATGTCTTGATAAAAATACTAATCAAATTTTTATAAATATTTAAAATTAATATAAAAAATTTATAAATTATTATTTTTAGTAATAATCAAAATTCCTTCAAACTGAAAAAAAAAGAAGCAGTTTTAAAATGAAGAAAAATAAAAATAAAACAAAAATAACCTGATATTGAGTATTTCCAAAAAAATGAATAGCTGATATTTATAAAAAGAAGACTCATAACCAAAGTCAAGACTGCTAACAAAAGGAATTTTGTTTTTAAATTTGAAGATTCTAAAAAAAAAAACATAAAAAAAAATTATAATTTTATTAAAAACTTATAGTTTTATAAAACATTTTTACCTAAAAAATGTCATTAATGATCATTATTCATTATGTTATCCAGAATATTTTATCATTGATCATTATTTATTTTGCTACCCAGAACTCTCCTCTCCCTAACTATAAGTAAGTTAAAATAAAAATTTTTAAAGGATTTTAATTTTATTTTAACTTTTCCAAGGTCAGGTCAGGCCTATGACTGTCATGATTGCTGAAAACATGTGATTCAGTATCATCTGTTGCATATTTTGAGGCTTTGTTGGATTTGTTTTCTATAAGCTAAAAGAAGTGTACTTCCTATTATCAATACTAACAAACATCTGTCATATATATGATGGTCTAATTTTTGTCTTTTACATAGTTGAAGAAGTAAAATTTACTGCTTCAGCTCACCTTTATTTTACTAGATATGTATGTTTGTGTTTTGTCTAAAACTTAGACATTAATAACAACAAAAATGCTTACGGGAATTAGAAAACAAACTTAGAAAGCAAAAGATATTTGTGTATAAAACATGATTTATTTAAAACAAAACTCTGAGTTCAACAAAAATCTAGCAATTATAAGTTTTAAATTATAAAAAAAAGCAAAAAAATTACAAAATAATGTAGAGTGTTCTCTGTAATAATATTTTTTTTGTTTTTATTACATTTTTGCTTCCAACAAAGCTGCAAGCAGCCACTAAAAGAAAGATGAAGTTTCTAGAGCAAGATAACGATTGACAGATGACTTAAAACATTGCAAATTATATGAATCAGGGAAGCAAGATAAAGGAAGCAAATTTCAAAGAACTGACGTTCGAGGATAAAAGTTAGACAAATAAGAGTTTTTAGAGCATTTAGGAACAGTCACAGAAAAAGGATGAGACTAAATTGAATGAGGAGTAACACGAGAATGAATTTTACTAGCTGTCAAAAAGGACGCTAGCTTTTTAGAGAAGTGCCCATTATAGTATTTATAGAAAAGAGAAAGAGAAGCAAAGTCACAACAATGTGACAATTGTTGGAAATTAGCTGCAAGAGCAGGTTCAACTATGTTTACAATGCCTTTTTGCACCTTTTCTAAAAGAGAAAGGGCATCATTAGAAGACCCGCCCCAGATATGGCAACAGTATTCCATACAGGGACAGATTTGAAATTTATAGAGATAAATGTCAAGCTCGATAAAGAGATACAACCTTAGAAGATGCTAATTTTGCAATGAATTTTATATATAGTTTCCAAGAAAGATCAGAAGAGTTAATCCTAGAAGATAAAGGGTAGATAAATATTCTAGTACATAACTGTTCATAAATATAGGAAGATCAAAATTGAATAAATAAAACAAATCAAACTTGTTTTTATCATATTTTTTTAAACAAAACACACAGATACTTAATTGTTAACTATAATTTTGAAGTATATTCAATATTAAGTAAACTAAACTAAACTAAAAAAAAAATTAATAAAAAAAATAGAATTACCTTTTTTGTCAGAAACACTGATACCTGTTAATGATGTCTCTAAAAAAAATAGTTGAATTATTACTAACATTAAGGGTTGGGATCAAACACATTTAATCAAATATAAACATACAAATTCATAATTATTTCAATTTTAAATTCTAAATTTAAAAATATATGTAATCAGAGCTAGGTTGAAATAGTTGCTTCATTATGTAAATTGTTTTTAATTAAGTATTAATACATTTAAATATATAGAAAAACATTATTGCGTTTTTTAGTATATTTAAATGCACAAAAAAAACAGTTAAATCATATTTTGAAGACACTAGATAATTCTATTGCTTTTTGCAACTACTTCAACTGTTCCAGAATTGCCAAATACCTGGCATTACTATGATGTGCTCAGTACCTTTTGCAATCCTTCGTCAGAAGCTACAGGCACTAAAACACTGGGCTGAGACTCATACATGGTCTGAACAGACACATACATGGTTTGAGCATAAATAAAATTCAATGTTATGCAGTTAAATAAACAAAACAAACAGAAATCCAAATCTCAAAAATAATTTCAAACAAAGTTTTTTAAAATTAATAAAAATGTAAAAAAAACTTTTTTTTTGGAATATAGATAGTGTTTTTTTCAAAATTTGAATTGTTTTAATTTTAAAAGTTAAATTCCTTTTAAATTTTAAAAAATTTTTATTTTACCTTTTTTTCTTCTCTTTTTTTCTTTTTTTTTCTTGGCAGAATGTTTTTTCACTTTTTCTGGACAATTTGAAGTCACTAAATGATATACAAAGTTAGTATCTAATTATCACAAACATCTATCGAACTATCACAAACTTTCACATTAAAATTACAAATTAATGTACTTCTATCTTTTGTTTGTACTATTTTTTTTTTTTAATTTTTGTATTTTTGTTTAAAAAAAAAAATAATTTTTTTCAATAAGTGTTTAAAAATGTAAAAAAAAAAATTTAAAAATTAAAAAAAAAAAATGAAACGAATAAATAAAAACTGAAATAACCAAAATTCATTTTTATAGAACTTTTTGAAAGAACAAAACACACAGAAACCTAATCATTAATAAATATTTATTAACAATTCCCTGGGACTCTATTTCTGATGAACTATATGTTTCTATATGTTTAGTAATTTAAAAAAAAAAACAGTATTAAAATTACTTTTCCTGGCAGAAATCCTAGTGTCTATTTTTGCTGAACTTTATGTTTCTAAATGATGACTTTAAAATTATGACTACTAACCAGGGTGCGGATTCACAAAACATTTTTAAGCGTAACTTTTGCGTAACTTTAAAACTTACGCTAAACTTACTAATTTCATATGCACAAAAATCCAGGACTGTCCAGGACTTTTTTATAGATAGCCCAAAATAACACAATACGCTACTAAATGTATATTAATATAGAAATTAAATGTAAATTAAAGAAATACATTACAGCTAAATAAATATAGCTGCATCACTACAGCTACATAACTAAGAGTATATTCAAAAAACATTTGACAAGGAACTATTTTTTATTTGAAAGGAAAATTTTAATTTCAATTAATTTCAAAAACTTCAGAATCATTTTGAAAACTCATAATATAAATACTATTTTAGCAAAACAACAAAACCAAAAACTAAAACTTTACTCAATAATCAAGTGTACAAAAATATGCTTTCAAATTAAGTAGTGAAATTAACATTTTCATGAATCATCTTTTATTCTATATTGTACAAATTCTAAATTTGCTTTTGTTGTTCTTGAAAGAGTTTCTTTTTTTCATTTGATTTTTTCAAAAGAACAAAAATAATTTGCTTTATACATTTGTTGAAATTTTTTTGGAAAGTTAAAATTTAGATTTTACCAGACTGTTGGTCAAAAGAAAAAACAATTCATAGAGTTTTAGAAACTTAAAATATTCTCATATTATTTTATAAAAATAAGTAAAGACAAAATTGATATATATATATATATATATATATATATATATATATATATATATATATATATATATATATATATATATATATATATATATATATATATATATATATATATATATATATATATATATATATATATATATATATATATATATCTACATATATATATATATATATATATGTATATATATATATATATATATATATATATATATATATATCTACATATATATATATATATATATATATGTATATATATATATATATATATATATATATATATATATATATATATATATATTTAAATAAAGAGATGCAACCTTATATATATATTTATCTAAATATATATATATATCTTTATCTAAATATATATATATATATATATATATATATATATATATATATATATATATATATATATATATATATATATATATATATTTAGATAAAGAGATGCAACCTTAGCAGATGCTAATTTGCAATGGATTTGATATACGGTTTAAAAGAAAGATCAGAAGTAAGAGTTAATCCTAGAAGATGAATGGTAGATGACTCATCTAGCACATTACCATTCATAAATATAGGAAGATCTAAATTATTACGATAAAGATTGGTCGAATAAAATTGAGTTTTATCTGAATTAAAGTTCACCAGCCACTGTGAGCCCCATGCTGTAGCAGAAGTGAGATCCTTTTCAAGCTCAGATACCCCCTCCAGGCAATCAGAGAGTCTAGGCTTCTTATCATGACAAGAGTAAATGGTAGTGTCGTCAGCGAATAATGCCACCTTAGATGTGAGAATATCTGGAAGATCGTTAATGTAAATTAAAAAGAGTATAAGGCCAAGGATTGAACCTTGAGGAACCCCTGAAGTTACAGGATGTGAAGAAGAGTGTTGTCCATCGAGGACAACTCTTATACTACGATTGGAAAGAAAGGACTCAATAATCTTAAAGATGTTACCAGATACACTATAAGAAGAAAGCTTATGGAGAAGACCAGCATGCCAAACTTTATCAAAAGCTTTACAAATGTCAAGTGCGATAGCCTTAACCTCTCTACCTCTATCTAATGCACGGTAAAACCTATCAGTTATTACTGTTAGCTAATCAGCTGTAGAACGAGAAGATCGAAATCCATATTGATGATCAGAAAGTAAGTTATTTGATTCAAGATGAGAGATTAAGTGTTTGTTGATTAAAGTTTCAAAAACCTTGCTTATGACAGGAAGAAGACTAATGGGACGGTAGTTAGATGAATCAGATTGCTCTCCGGAATTTTTGAAAATAGGGATAACAGATGCTGCTTTCCAGCATGATGGAAAACAAGACTCTGATAAGCACTTGTTAAATAGTTTTGAAAGTATGGATGAAAGCTCCGGAGAACACTTCTGCAAGACTACAACAGGAATGTTGTCAGGACCACAAGCTGTTGAAGAGTCTAAGCAGGAAATTACTTTTGATACAGAAGCTGAAGTGATGCGAATGTCAAGCATAGGATCAACCTGTTTGATGGCTATGTCAGGTAGAACGCAACTAGTGGAATCAAGAGATGATATTGATGAAAAGTTCTTAGCAAACAATTCAGCTTTGTCTTTAGGTGAGGTGACAAAGTCTGAACCATACAAGAGAGAAGGAATAACAGATTTGCCCTTATTATTTATACTGTTAAAGATTCTCCAGAAGTCTCCAGAGCCTAATTTTTGTGATGAGATACAAGATTTTATGACCTGAGAATAGCGAGCTTTGGCGTCAGACAAAACCTTTTTACAATGGTTTTTGGCGATAGTGAACAGATGTCGGTTTTCTGGAGAATTGTTTTGCTGATAGATATGAAAGTAAGAAGTTTCGATTAGAAATTGCTGCAGCGCAATGTGAGGAAAACCAAGGAGAAGAGTGAGGCTTGACCTGGAATCGTGGAGAGGGAATAAAAGATTCCATGCCAGCCTGAATCCACGAAGTTATGTAAGAAGCACATTTGTCAGCAGGAAGACAAAAGATTTCTTCCCAAGGGCCATCACGAAGAAAATCACGGAAAGAGTCCCAGTCAGCTTTAAGGTAGTTGTATGTGGTACGATGATAGGGGGATTCTGATGAAGTAGAAGAATTTGATAATAGTTTTAGAGATATCAAACCGTGATCAGAAGCACCTAAGGGTGAATGTGGAGAAATTGAGCACTGACTAGGATCCAAAACAAGATATAAGTCGAGTAGAGAAGGTAAATGATTAGGGTTGTCTGGAAAACGAGTTGGAAAGTTGACTATTTGAGTTTGGGATTGAGAAAGGCAAAAGTTGAGGGCCTTAACGCCAGCAGAGTCACTGACACTAGAGCCAAGCCAATCGGTGTGATGGGCATTAAAGTCACCAACAACAACAATATTGGCCGATGGATAAAGAGAGAGAGCTTGGTCAATTTGATCAGAAATAACATTGAGAATAGTGCAATCTTGGGATGAAGGAGAGCGATATAGAACAAAGAGAAAGGCGATAGAGTGAAGTGGTGCTAAACGAAAGCACATAAAAGAATAGTCTGTAGATTCAAACCTAGTTTCATGACAAATGGGTGAGTTCTTACGAATGTAGATGCCCAGGCCAAGCATGTGATTATTGGAGTCTTTACGAATTAATGGAAGATAACCATCAACACTAAGATCACAAGATGGGACAGCCAAACTTAAATTAGTCTCACAAAGAGCAAGTAGGTCTGGTGAACTTTGCAAAAGATAAGACTCAACAGAAGAAAAGTTACTTTGAAGACCACGAATATTAGTAAATGATAGGTTTAGAGAACTTAGTGATGACGATGGTTTTTTGTGTTTTTTAGTTTTAGGTACTTAAGTCATTTTAAATTTATAAAGAACTTGACTCAAGTATAGATAGTACTCAGTACACTATTTAACAACTAAGCAATAGCCTCATTACTATTAATTAACCCTAAGCCGTAACAAAGGGCTCCAAATGTGGCCTCTACAAAGCACACCAAAAGTACGAACAGGGACACCATCCATGCGCAACATGGCACTGTTAGTACTCTGATATTTTTCGGCTGTTGATAGAATCAGCCTCTCTGAGAGCAACCACAGAGTTCGGGAAACCTGACTACCAGCCGGCCTCAGAACCATAAAACTGAGTTTTAGAGCTGTACCCTCATTAGGAGATAATAGAATGAGTTGCCCAGTCATAAAAATAGAGACACAAGCAATACCCACGCATTGAGTCAAGAAGATCCAGCGTTCAACATCCTAAACTGGAAGCAATGTATTAAAAATACATCTGCGCCAGCCTAATAGATATATATATATATATATATATATATATATATATATATATATATATATATATATATATATATATATATATATATATATATATATATTTATATATATATATATATATATATATATATATATATATATATATATATATATATATATATATATATACATATATATATATATATATATATATATATATATACATATATATATATATATATATATATATATATATATATATATATATATATATATATATATATATATATATATATATATATATATATATATATATATATATATATATATATATATATATATGTATATATATTTATATATATATAATTAGAAAATAAAAATAAAATATGATTTTTCTTTAGTATTGTTACCTCCAAATTTTGTTTCAATTTTAATCCCAATATCTAATCGATTAAAAGCCATTAATTCTTTTTTCAATTGCTCCCATGAAGGATTTCCATTTTTTTGCTTCCATTTTTTAAAAACATTATCAGCTTTTTCATAACAATTTTTGTTATCAGAGCCAATGTTATCAAGATCTGAATCACTTAGACCGAGGTGTCTTCCCCATCGCAACCAATCAGTTCCAATATTATAGCTTATTTCACCACAACATTTTGAAATAAATTCATCAGAAGCCAATTGATTTCTAGACACTAAACATAAGAAATTTAAACTTCAAATCTTTAAAAAAAAAAAAAACAGCAAAAAAAAATTGGTATTAATAACTGTATTCATAACCACTAAAGTCAATCTTTGAATCCAAATTTATAACCCAAATTTATAATCAAATCAGCTACAGAGATAAGTTATCATATCTTTAACTCAGTATATATACTTAAAAAAATTAGTATAATGAATGAAACTTTATTAATTAAACAATTAAATAAAAATATTAAAAATGTCAAGAAGATCATTAAACATCAATTGGAAACAATGTATTATAAACACATCTAAGCTTGTATTGTAATACAAGCTTAGATGTGTTTATAATACAATTGTAAAGCTTGTAAGCAATGTATTATAAACACATCTAAACAAATAGATGAAGAATTGGAGCAAAGATGATCAGCAGATAGAATCTGTTCAATTCAATCACTTGGTTAGGAATCCTTTAATATGCATATAAAATATACAAAACTATATAATACAATAAGTTGAAGTGTACTACAACTAAACCATTATTCATATTACAAACTTTATTAACACTACTGTCTTCATAACCACTAAAGTACATATGATAGTCCGCCATTAATCAGAAATCATTGAGTCATGGGCAATTCATACTTTTAACAGTGATGCGTATAAAATTAATGCTACTAAAAGTTTCTTAAATAATTTTTTCAACTAAAGACAACATTATTAAAACGCATTGGTTAGAAAGGTTTTTTAAAAGCAGAAGATGGTCAAAGTCCACTAGTATATTAGACAAAACTATGCATAAATTAATAATGCAAAATTAAATAAATTATGCTAAAAATAGAGACACTTTAGAAGGAAAGATATACCTGTTTAAGTAAAAATTATTTTTTTTTGGATAGGTATTGCTGAGAAACTAAAGTCAAATTTAAACATCTTCAAATAACTATTATGCAGAAAATAATAAAGAAAAATTAAATCTTTAATTTAATTTTTAACTTATAAAAATAGTTTTAATTTTTTCCTTTTTTTTTTTACTATTTATTTTGGAGATTGAGAAATGCAAAACTTGTGAGCCTTAATGCCTGATGAACATTACAGTCACCAAAAACAACAATATTGGCTGAAGGATAAAAAGAAAGAGCTAGCTAGAGAAAGGGATAGGTAAATTTAATAAAAAATAACATCGAAAAAAATCTTGAGATAACTATGGTCTTGAGATAAAGGAGAGCAATATAGAACAAAAAGAAAGGTGATAGAGTGAAGAAATGTGATAGAGTGAACACATCTACACCAGTCTAATAGATAAAAAAAGGGGAGCAAAGCTGGTCAGCAGATAGAATCTGTTTATCCTTTAATATGCATATAAAATATATAAGACTATAAAATACAATAACTTCTTTTCTGCTGTGAGTTTGGTTTTGTAATTTCAATTTAATTTTTTACTTGATACTTGTGAGTTTTCAATTTTGACTTTAAAGAGTTTTTTTAAACAATCTGTTTGCTTGTTTTTTTATTTTTTTTTAACTAATTTATTTTTAACAAAGAAAACTTTTAACTGTAAAGTTGAGATTTACTATAAACTAAGAACAGTGTTAAAGAGCAAGGAAACAGGTATAGAGAAAAAAAAGTTGAAGGTTACATGATTATAAAAAACATAAAGATTGGAGAGCATGGAAAGCATTGAAGTGCAAGGAAAGAAACAAGATAGATAAAAGATTTTTGATCAGGAATGGACAGAGAAAAAAAAAAAAAGCAAACTTGATGAATGACAAGTTAAGCTGGAATGAGTGTTTGTTGGTAGAGCTGAATGTTAATATTTGTAAAAAAGTAAAAGAGATGCAAATTTATGACAATGGGAGAGTGGTTCAATCTTAGTAAATAGAGCAGGTCCAACTTAATAATGTCAACTAAGTTAATAATGTCTTTTTGGACCTTGTTTAAGAAGAGAAAAATCATAATTAGAAGAACCAGCCTTAATATTACAACAGTATTCAAATACAGGAAGGTCTTTTCACTCCTTTTTTCTCCTGTAAACAAATTTTTTGAAAGTGCAATTAATATTGATAGTAGTAAAAAACCTTTCATAAATATTTAATGAAGCTTTAATCATTCTTATATTTATTATGTTATGTTGTTTCAAATTTTCTTTCAAACCTGATGCCAACCTATTACAGTTTAAGGACCACAATTTATTTTTAACATCAAACTGTTAGAGGTTGACATGGAATCCTAAAGCTGGTTATCAAATAACATTATTATACAATATATTTCAGAAGAACAAAAAAAAATTAGTTTGTTCTTAAAAAACGATAATAAAAAAGGAAAATAAAATATATTCCATAATTCTATATAATGATCAATAGTTCAATATGCAGTAAATTATTGGAATAATTAGTACAACTGATTATTTTTCAAGATGCACTTTAAAAATAAATTCTTGGTTTCATCATTTTTATTACATTTTTGTAATAAAAACAATGAAGCCAAGAATTTATTTTTATAAGCGCTAATTTAATTTTATATAGCGCTATGTTACTCGCTTTAATGTAGAACATGTGTTTAAGAGAAGAAAAAACATAGTACTGGTATTTTAAAATAACATTTTAGATATTAGTAACAATTTCAAGAAAGTTACAGGGTTGCACAACCATCAAATTATTAGAGCTACAGCTAATAAATCCAGTTGCATGTATGACAAAGCACAAAAGTCATGCACAGAAGTTGAAAACTTGTTGATTTCATGTAGTTATTTTTAAGAAAATAATTTAATTGTGAGTATTTCATGTGAACTTTTAATCTCTACAACTCATATTTAATATATTTTTGATGAGAAATAGCAGTCATCAAATATTTCTGGGTAAAATAAAGAGTTTAAAGAAATATTATTATAATTAGAGAAAATATTGCATATTTTTTAAACTAGTGAGTCATAAACACACACACACACACACACACACACAATAAAATGATACAAATGCATATATTTAAATATTCAGGTAGCCTTATATGCGTAAAAAAAAATTTATCGAAGTTATTCTTTAAGAAAATCAAAATAGTATGCATATTGCTATAAGGCTTCTAATTGTAAAAAACTAACAAAAATAAACAAGTTTTATCTTTAACTAAAAACTTTTATCAATACATTTTTGAAAAAATAAACAATTAAACAACTTATTATTACCTTCTTTCCATACTCATGAACAATTTATTTAGAATTTCGTCAAGAATTCTCATTACAAGCTGAGCAAGTGTTGTTATTCGTGCTTAGAAGTTTTAAATATTCCATTTTGTGTTTTAAGCAAAGAAAGTAATCCTGCACAAGCCTTGTACATATATTTTTTTAATTACATTATTTGAACCAACAAAATACCAAATTACAGAAATAGATTGGAAATAGACTATAAATCAATATTAGAGAACTATAGTTATAAAATTATAAACTGAACCAAATTACAACAGAATGGAGTTAAAAAAACCTTTTTTTTTTTTTGAGGCCCTGGAAGTGCCTAAAGCAATTTTATATTACGCCAAATGTCACTTAAAATATTACCATAAAACATACTCTACAAAACTACAATTTAATATTTAGAAAGAAATGTGTTGTTATAACTGCAGAGCTTAAAGAGAAAAATTAAAGCAACCAGCCTAGTGATTTGTGTTAATAATTTTTGCTATTTACTGATTTTTAGGATTTCGTTATTATATCATTTGTCGATATATAACTTAAACTTTTAAATTAAAATCATTAAAATAAGTAAACATATCTAAAAAAAATTACTAAAAAAACATATACCTTCTGTTTTAACTGAGCTGCTAAATAGACCATTTTCCATTTTTTTGTAGAAACCTTTAATAAATCATACAATAAACTTGTAAAAAGATAAGAAATATGTTAATACCAAGAAAATATCTTTATGAAAAAATATATAAATTTAATATATACAGACCCGTAGTAAGGTGAAAAAGGTACATAGTTAGGTAAAAAGTAGTTCTATTTTTAATGGCTTTTAAAATTACTTCTTTAGTTACTTTTAGAATATGTTGCTCAATTATTCGATGTACATAATGATCTGTTAAATAAGTATTATATATAGTCATATATTAAAAACTTTATTTTTAAGGTTAACTATTCACTGAGCGTTTATTTATCAGCATTAAATGCTGATTAGGGAATCCAGAATTATACAACCAGTTGAAAATAAAATGTACCAAAAAAAAAAGATCAATTTTACGAAATTAACTTTTTTTAAAAAGTACTTTCATACACAAATTTATGTCTACACCATAAGTCAGTTCATAAGAGAAATATACACAAAAAAATCTCCTTTTATTGAGCTATAAACAATCAAAACAAAATAACTTACAGCAATTCTTCCTTAGTTTACTAATATTAACATGAAATATAAAATATAACAAGCTAAAATTTAAATAATCATAATTTCATTATCAGAAGATCCATAAACTTTAACAACTTTACTTGCATTTTAGTTAGACCCCTTGCTCTACCCATTATTGTAATCTAATCCCTACTCTAATCATGGTTGTAAATTTAACAAATTTGTTGAGATTTAACAAATTTCCAATGAAATAAATATTTCAATACTATCATTCTACTGGTACAGCCTAATTCACATCTTTAACTAAAAATGACAGAAATGCTCTAATTTGCATTAGATTGAATAGATCTTGTTTGCCGTGCAGCAGCCTTTTTCATCAAGGTTTATGTTTTGGAGTTATAGAGTTGAGAGAGGGTTATAACCACAATTAAGTAGCCTCCTCGTCTGTAGTGGCCTTCTTGGCTTTGGGGAGGTGAAATAACAAAAAAAAAAAGGTGAAGTGAGATTTAATTGCTTTCAGAGATTGATCTACCTGCCTTAACCCAAACCCTGAGTCGATGTACAAGCATTCTCTTGCATGTTATCTCTGAATGTAGCCAATGAAGCAGCACTCACCTACATTTCTCCCCAAATCAGTAATAAATTTGGTCTTCGTTTTTTAAAAAACCAAAACCTCATTCTGAGTCATAGTATCTTTCGCTCACTCTTTTTAACATAATGAATTTGCTGATAAGACCAAACTTGTTTACTGTGTATTTTTTTTTTTTCAATAATAAAAGGTGTAACTTTTCTTTAAAATCAAATACACGAATAGAGTATGAGTACAGTATGAATACATACTGTTTAATTACAGTATGAATACATACTGTTTAATTACTGTATGAATACATGGGCTTAATGATCAAGCCCACATGCGCTGTATATCTTTTTCTTTTTTCTCTGTTTTTTTTTGGAAAAGGAATTTACGTTAAACTGTCTCATTAATTTTATTAAATTTAAAAAAATACAAACACATTGACAAAGATTAAAACAAATGCAAAAATAAAATAGTACCTAAATCACTTGGATCATATAACGTTTTAAAATCCGGCTAACAATTCCATTTAGAATTCGATGATATTTATTTTCAACACGTTACTTGACATAAAAAGACATTACTAACCACTGTGCTTAGTGGTAAAAACAAGAATCAAGACTCTCGTGACATTAGCAAATGTTTACTGTTTATTTTGCAATGTTGACATTTTCAATGCAAGCGCTCCACAGTGGGCTAATTTTCAAAAAAGCTGGCCAAAAGTCAAAAAAAAATCACTATTTTGAATTTATTTTTTTGAAACTACATAAACAAAGCCCTGTTGCATTTTATTGTATAAGAAAAAATTGTATAAATTTTAAAGTTACCTATATCTACGCAGTTAACAACATCTGTTATTAAAAACACTTAATTGGCGTTTTAAAAACAAAAAAAAAAAAGTGGTTAAATAAGTATCGTTTAAAAAAAGTTATTTATCGTTACTAAAAAACTAACTATGAACGATACTATTCAAGGTATTTATATAATATTTAAGTGAAAAATTTTATTTTATTTCTCTAAATTTTATGCGAAAAGTCCGAACAAAAAATTACAGAATAAAGTTTATTTATTTTCTTTAACTTATTTTTCAAGCATTGAAAAAGTTGTGAACCCGCGAGATTCCGCTAGGTTATAATTTGGATGTTGTTCATAAAAGTGTATTCTAAAGATTGGTTAAAAGAAAAGGCACCTATTTTTGCCTATTACTTCATTAACTTATATTGTGTAGTGCTAGTCGTGTTTTTTAGTAAACAAAATGACGATATTTTGTTTTCTTTACAAATCCAGTCAAATTGTATATAGATATAGTTATTATGTTTCTTGAGAAACTGATTTTGTTAAGTGCAATAAAACTACGATAAAATTAGTAGCACACATGAATGAGATTTTGACAAAGTTAGAGTGTAGGGGGACAAACGTTATATGTCCCCCTACACTCTAACTTTGATAGAGATACATTAACTCATAAATTTCTTATAGAGATATATTAATTAAGTTAATATATTTCTATAAGAAATTTATGAGTTAATATATCTCTATCAGCAATTTATGAGTTAATATATCTCTATCAGAAATTTATGAGTTAATATATCTCTATCAGAAATTTATGAGTTAATATATCTCTATCAGAAATTTATGAGTTAATATATCTCTATCAGAAATTTATGAGTTAATATAACTCTATCAGAACTTTATGAGTTAATATATCTCTATCAGAAATTTATGAGTTAATACATCTCTATTAGCAATTTATGAGATAATATATCTCTATCAGAAATTTATGAGTTAATATAACTCTATCAGAACTTTATGAGTTAATATATCAGTTAATGTATCTCTATCAGAAATTTATGAGATAATATATCTCTATCAGAAATTTATGAGTTAATATAACTCTATCAGAACTTTATGAGTTAATATATCAGTTAATGTATCTCTATCAGAAATTTATGAGTTAATATATCTCTATCAGAAATTTATGAGTTAATATATCTCTATCAGGAATTTATGAGTTAATATAACTCTATCAGAACTTTATGAGTTAATATATCTCTATCAGAAAAAATATGAGTAAATACTCATATTATTTCTGATAGAGATATATTAACTTGTGCATTATTTCAAACCCCCTCCCCCTCGTCATAACCGAGGGGGACAAACCCCCTCGGTTACGACGTCTTTTTTACCTCAGCTACGACGATTTTTGTATAGTTTTATTGAATTTTACAAAATCAGTTCCTCAAAAAACATAATAACTATATCTATATACAATCATATGATTAACAGTATATTTTACCTTTCTCTTATATATCGAATTTATATAATATAATATATTATCGATTACCGATTTAGTAAAGTTATAATGTTTTTATGATTTTTTTAATTATTATATTTTCAATTAATATCTAAGGTTCACAAAAAGATCATTTGCAAATTCCTCGAATTGAAGTTTTTGAAATTTTAAAAAACGAGTTATCTTCAGATCTAGATGACCAGCTTGATATTTTGCAATCACAATTGTGTCTAAGAAGAAAAATTTGTTTCCAATTTTCAACAGATGATAAAAAGAAACTAAAAAATGTTTGACAAAATTAAAAATAAAATGGAAAAGTAGTAACCGAACAAAAAAAATATTTTTGAAGACACATGATACTTGGTTAAAAGCCTCAACAAATATTTGTGTAAGTTATTTAATACTTATCTCTATTAAAGTTTTAAACTTTTTTATATTTACTAAACATTTAAATAATTTCAGATGGTTCAAGCACGAAACAAAGAGAAAAAAAGCCATAGTGCAATGGGTCGACCACCTTTGAATTTTGATGAAGCAAGTTAGCGAACGAAACGGCAAAAAATAGAGGAAATGCGTTCGACATTAAGTTCATCCGAGTTGCATTTGCTTCTCAGATGAGTCTTCGGGCTTCAGGAGCATGCAATGCCGGAGTTACAGTTTAAGATTTACCTTCCACCATTCAACACCGGTCGCAAATTATATAGAGAGCCTTAAATTGTCCTAAATTTCACAAACATCTGAACTATGTGCTGAAACAGCTCTTTCCATACTAATGGAAGCAAAGCTTTCTAAACACCAATATTGCATTATAAGAAGTGCTGCAATTGCGAATAGCTCTTCTTTTTTACCATCTTACGAAAAACTTAAAGAAGCCAAGAAAATGTGTTACCCTGAAGATATAACGGTAACTGAAATAAGTGCCGAAGTAAAACTGCAATCTTTATTAAATCACACTAGTTTACGAATTATAAAAACTCAACAAGATGTAATTGACTTCTTGAATGTAAATATTTTATCAAATTTTATTTTAATTCTTAAGTGGGGGTTTGATGGCAGTTCCGGTCATAGCGAATTCAAACAGAGATTTGCCGATGGAAGAAACTCAGATGCAAATGTTTTTCTGACTTCACTTGTACCATTAAAACTTTTGTGTACAAATTCAGTTTTAGATCAAGATGTTATTCTATGGAAAAATAGGACACCCTCATCTACTCGATTTTGCCGATCTATCAGACTGCAATTTCTTCACGAAAATGTCCATACAAGCATTAATGAAAAAGACTATATTGATGATATAATTAAATCACTTGTTCCTCTCATCATTGTTCAACATAAAATAGAAATTAAAATACATTATAAATTGGTTATGACAATGATTGACGGAAAAGTTTGCAATGCAATAACATTGACAAAATCAACAATGCGGTGTTATTTGTGTTCTGCTACTTCGAGTCAATTCAATAATATCAATTTCGTTAAAGAAATAAAAGTTGGCGAATCAAAATTGGAATACGGTTTATCAACGTTGCACGCATGGATTCGCTTTTTTGAATGTTTTTTGCATCTTGGATATAAACTTGGAATAAAAAAATGGCAAGCACGTTCTGACATTGAAAAAAGTATAATATTACAAGAAAAATTGTTAACCCAGAATGCTTTTAAGCTGCAGCTAGGGTTAATAGTTGATCGACCGAAATTAGGATGCGGTAATACAAATGACGGAAATACAGCTCAAAGATTTTTAAAAAACTCAAAAGTGTCTGCTGATATTCTAGGAGTGGATTTAGAACTAATAAATCGATTTCATGTAATTTTACAGGTATTATCTAGTGGCTTTCCTATAGACGCAGACAAACTTGATAACTATTCTACCGAAACTGCACTACTTTTTGTTGAAAAGTATCCTTGGTACAACATGCCTACAACAGTACACAAAGTACTTATTCATGGAGCCTTAATAACAAAAACAGCAATACTACCCATAGGACAACTATCTGAGGATGCACAGGAATTGAGAAACAAAGACTTAAAAAAATATCGCGAAGATTTCTCTAGAAAAAATTCCAGAAAAAATACAATGCATGACGTTTTTTGCAGACTTCTGGTTTCGTGTAAAGTGAAAAGTGAAGATATTGGATCCTGCAATATCTTCACTTTTAAAATCTCATGATGACAGTGGTGATTTATTTTAAAGTAATATAAATGAAACAATTATGATAAATGATGCAAATAAAAGTTTTCCTTGTTTTCCTTCAACAAATAAATAAGTAGAATAAATAATGAATTTTTCAATTTATTTTTCTTAACATTCCGGCATAATAATACGGTCATAATACATTTTATATCGGTATTATATATAATGTTTATAAATTTAATGTAAATAATACATTAGTCTATTGAACTTAAACGTCGAATTAGAACTAATTGGTTAAACACGAAGGCCCAAAGACATTTCTAATGATTAATGTTTTTAAAACACCGCCATTTTGGATCTGCCATTATTGAATTTTGGTACACTTATGTAAAATTCAAAGTTGAGGATTAAAAAAAATGCTATACAGAAATTTTCCATTAATTATATTCATTTTTTGACTTTTGGCCAGGTTTTTTGAAATTCTGCCCACTGTGCGCTCATTTAAATGTAAATGAGTGACGTCAATTTAAAGCCATTAAGGCAGTTTTCCACAAGGTCAGATTTATTTCGAATCGCCATAATCAAAAACCAATGAAATTTTGAATATTATATCACGTGATGTCAACATTAAAAAAAAAGCGAAAACATGTTGTTTTTAAAGTAACAAAAAACAAAATTCTTAACCTGGCGTTTTAATTAATTTTATATAAACTTACTCTGAAAATTGGCTAGCATGAGTAAATTTATTTTAAGGGGCAAGACTTACATAAAAAAATGACCAGACTTATGTATAAAACTAAATCGAAAATTTACAAATATAAATTTTCACTTTGTCAATTACGAAAGTTACACTTCATAAGAATGTTTATCTTCAAGTGGCCACACGAAGATAAACCCTTTTGTGAAAAATTTTTTATAGAGTTAAACCTGCTACTCGTTCTTGCAGTAATAGTTTTTATTAGAAATGTTCATATCAGAGTTTAGCATTTATTTTCTTATACTTTCTTGTAAAAAAAAAACCTTATATTAAATAATTATGTTACAAAATAATATCACATCTTACATATAAAGGCAGAGATGTTAATATTAATGCACGGAAAGAAATTTTTACATGCTTCAAAGTAGAAAGTATGCTAAAAAAGTATTAACAGCCTTCAGTTGTTTAAACATACAGCGTAAACTTATTGCTGCCATTTTTATTGTTGACAACGAAAAAAAGTACAGTCATTCTGGGTAACTTTGAATTTGCGGGTAACATTGAACTAAACGTGTAAATGTTTTTTAATTTTTTTTTCTTTGGTATTTTCTTTGCCTGTTGCTTTAACAAAGAATAATATGATGAATTATCTTTTTTTACAAAAGTTTGACCAAAGAAAATTAAATTTTATTTCTCAAAAATAATGTTTTCCTCCATTTCCAGTTACACAGTCTAATGTGGTGATAACATCGTGTGTTTTCAATTTAGAATATTTGGTATTACATTGTAATTATCTGAATAGATTTTTAAGTATTTTATTGAATTATTTTTTGAACTTTAATACAAACTCAAAATAATAGGATTTAACATGTTTTTTGCTACAAAAAGGATATTTATTTCCACTTAGCTAAAATATAACCAAATTCAGGGTAACTTTAGACAATCAATATTTTCCAAAAATGCTTTTTTTGTTGTCTGAGTAACATTGCAATAATACATAATAAATAATAGGCATCTTTTTATTATAGTATTTTTATTATATAATGATATATGATATTATAAATATTAAAAATTATAACATATATTACTAATATATTAATTTTTGATATTTATGGCTATCTTGATAGATTTAATAATATATTTTATTAATAGCAAATATGGGATTAATTATATAATTTTCATTAATAACATAAATCATCTTTATATTTTTAGCATTCATAAAATGCCAAGAAAATGTTCGACAAGTCATCCTGGCACTAGAAAATATGGCACTAAATCTAATTACACCAATTCTACACTTATTTTTTCAAAATCTAGAGAAGGAATTAAATGGAGTAACGCCAGATAACATTTACAATATGGATGAAACAGGGTTTCATGATGACCCTGGAAAAAAAAAACTTATTTTTCGTCGATCATCTCGCCATCCAGAACTTATAAGAAACACAACAAAAACTTGTTACACTGTTGTTTTTTGTGGAAATGCCTCAGGAAAACTAATTCCACCATTTTTCATTTTTAAAGGAAAACACAGTTGGTCTGACTGGCTTTTCAATGCACCAGAAGGATCAAGAATGGCAACTTCTTGCAGTGGCTGGATGGAAATTCAAATATTTGAAGAGTGGCTGTTAATTCACTTTGTTCCAAATATTATAAATAAGGAAGGTAAAAAAATTCTGATTTGCGATAATTTAAGTGCTCATATATCTTTAAAAGCTTTAAATATATGTGAAAAGTATAATATAACATTTATATGTTTGGTACCCAATTCCACACACCTTTTACAACCTTTAGATGTTGGATATTTCTCGAGTTTAAAAGCTAATTGGAGGTCAGTTCTTAATCAATGGCGTAAAACATCCAGAGGAAAAAAGGTTAATAATCTGCCAAAAAATTTATTTACGCAGCTCATTAAATCTACTCTTAATGTTGGTAAAGAAAATCTAGAACATAATCTCCAAGCAGGATTTAAGGCTACTGGCATATATCCATTTTTACCAGAACATGTTCTCTCCAAATTACCCAGTTTTACAAATATAGATATTCAACTCAATATTGGAGAATCGTTTAGGAATTATGTTGATGATATTCATCTTAATTATGAAGTAAGCAAAAAATTTAAGTTACCAATAACAGCAGCGAAAAGTGTATCAGCCACTGAGGTAGAAGCATACTATAAGGAAAGAGACAATAAAAAAAAAAGTCAAGATAATATTCGAGCAAAGAAAAGAGGAAGACCACTTGGATCAAATAATATGGTTATGAAAATAAACAAAAAACTTAATAATTTACAAATTTCAAGCATTGTAAATGTTAATCAAGTTATTGAAGACGATGAACAAGTTTTACCTGTATCTCAAAATGATGCAGTTTTTTCATTGGAGCAAATAAACAATCACTATGTACATGTTTTCCTTGATCATGATTATTTTGTAAAAGAGTTAGTTTAAACTCAAGACTAAAAGAAGGAAACACTGTAATATTTAGTTTTATAGTCAATGGTGTTTATTTGTGGAGAATTATATAAAAATAATGTCTTATTTAATTTTTTCTTTTATAACCTTAAAAATTATTTTGTGAATATTTTATTGAAAAACTTGTTTGTTTATTCTCGAAATATTTTATTGAAAAACTTGTTTGTTTATTCTAGAAATATTTTATTGAAAAACTTGTTTGTTTATTCTAGAAATATTTTATTGAAAAACTTGTTTGTTTATTCTAGAAATATTTTATTGAAAAACTTGTTTGTTTATTCTCGAAATAGTTTAACTAGATTTTTTAAAAAATTAATCTAAACTTATACAAAGAAATTTAAACAACTTTTTAGATTTAAAAGATTAAAATTGACATTCAGTTTAATAGTGTTCAAAGTTACCCGAAATGCGAGGGTAACTTTGAACGCCTACTTGAACATTGTTTTTTTACATAATATCTAGCAAATTTAAAAAAATGATAGCAAACTAGAAAAAAGAGATCATCAGAACACTCTTTATGTAAAAATATTTGTTATCTAGTTAGTAAAACAATTTTTGTTGAGACAAACCTAGCGCAAACCGTTCAAAGTTACCCGTAATGACTGTAGCGCGAAAGAAAGTGGAAATCAAAACGTAGCGAAAAAATTCGCTACGCGCCAATTTGTCGTCTTGTGGAAAACGGCCTATAGTCAATTTATCTTTATTCGAGAACACACGGACTTAAATTGGACTTTTTTTAGTTAAATACAAATACATAATATATGATAAATGTTATTACATTTAAATAAATAAATTTTCGTGTTAAAATTTTTGGACATCAAGAAATAGTTATCATAAAAATAGTTATCATAAGAAGAAGAAGAACTATAGTAGTTAAATTTCTAGATTATAAAGATTGTGAAACTATACTAGATAACTACAAAAAGCTGAAATTATGGAACGAAAAGATGTATATCAATGAAGATTTTAGTGAGAGAACAATCAACATTCGCAAACAACTATTCATTAAAGCCAAAGAAATACGTTCATCAGGTAATTTTGCCAAAGTTGTTTATAATAAATTAATCACCAAGTCTTTCGAAAAGACTATCTGATTATCAAAAAAACAAAAACAAAAAAAAAGGGTTATATATATATATATATATATATATATATATATATATATATATATATATATATATATATATATATATATATATATATATATATATATATATATATATATATATATATATATATATACCAGTGTATATAAAAACCTTCAAATATTTTCAAAATAACAAAAACATACAAAATGGATTCAACTTATCGGAATGATTTTGAAAAAATATCAAGTTTATTTCAAACAAATACTTTTAATTTAGCAATGAATCTGATCCAGATATTAATTATTTTAATGAGATTAATGGATCAAAATTCGAATGCTCTTACTTTTATCCAGATAAAATTAAAAGCATATTTAAAAATAATGATAATCGTGATTATTTTAATATAATCCACATTAATATCAGAAGTTTAAAAAAAAATTTTGATAACTTTTAAAATATGATTTGTCAAACGGAAAATTTTTTTAACGTTATTTGCTTAACTGAAACTTGGTGTACAGAGGAAGATTTTAAATCAAACGCTTATTTCCATCTTATAGGTTTTAATACAGTCTTCTTAGAGCATAATGTTAATAAGTGTGAAGGAGGAGTTCTTTTTTACATAAAAGAAAACCTTGCGTATAAAATTCGAAGCGATATGAGTGTTTCTGATGATAATATTGAGATTTTAACGGTTGAAATAATAAATAAAAAATCTAAAAATATTTTACTAAGCTGCTGTTATCGCCCAGTGGGCACGGAAGTAAAAAAGGACGTCTTTTAAACGTCTTATACACGTTTTAGACGTTTTCTGAACGTCTTTTGAACTTTTTGGACGTATTTTAAACGTTTAAAAGACGTCTTTTTTACTTCCGTGCCCACTGGGCGGCCACCAATCGGAAGAACTGAGTACCTAAGCAATTATCTAGTTCATAATATAATAGAAAAAACTATCCAAGAAAAGAAAAAACATTATATACTGGGGGATTTCAACCTTTACTGCTTCCAGTATAATGAAAAAATATATATAACAAAGTTTTATAATCATTAATTTGAAACGGGAACAATACCCATTATAAATAAACCTACTAGAATAACAAAGTCTTCATCCTCCTTAATTGACAACGTTCTTACCAATGACTATTTCAATATTACACTCAAAAAAGGTATTATAAAAACTGATGTTTCGAATCACTTTCCAATTTTTTTCTGCTTAGGCGCTGACCACAAAACAAGTACGAATGGTAAAATAACACTAAAAAAACGAATTTATAGCAACAATAACTTAAATTTATTTAAAGAGCAACTTTTACACCAAGACTGGAGCTATATGAACTTTAATGAGGATATAAATATCATCTACAAATCTTTTTTTAATATATTTTACAAAATATATGAAGCAAATTTTCCTATTCGAGAAATAGTTCTTAACGCCAAAGACATATCTTGTCCTTGGATAACTAAAGGAATAAAAAAATCATCAAAAATAAAACAAAAACTCTATATTAAATATCTTAAAAATAAATCTGACAAACATAAAAATAACTACACAGTTTACAAAAATCTATTTGAAAAACTCCGAAAAAAAGCCAAACAAAATTACTACTCTGACTTGCTTATAAAACACAAGCATAATTCAAGGCGGGTGTGGCAAATAATGAAAAAAATTACTAGCAAACATAAGACAAATACAAATACGATGCCGAATGCTATAAAATTTGAAAATAAGTTAATTACCGATTCAAATGAAATCGCAGCCGAATTCAATAACTTTTTTTCGTCAATAGGACATAACCTATCAAACAAGATTCCTTATGTAGACAACGACTCTGTTGATGAATTTATATCATCACCAAATTCAACTATAAATTTTTCAAATCTAACTTATAATGAATTCGAAATTGCATTTAAATCATTAAAAAGGAATAAAGCAATAGGACCTGATGATATAAATGAAAATATTGTAATCGACTCTTTTAATGAGATTAAAGATATCCTCTTAAAAGTCTTCAAAGCATCTATTATTCAAGGATTGTTTCCAAATAGTTTGAAAATAGCCAAAGTAACTCCAATCTTTAAAGCAGGTGACCATACCAACATAACAAACTATCGTCCTATCTCAGTTCTACCGGTCTTTTCAAAAATATTAGAAAGAATAATGTATAATAGAATTTACACTTATCTTATTGATGATAAACTCCTTTATAAAAATCAATTTGGTTTTCAGAGAAACAGCTCTACTGAACACGCTATTCTCCAAGTAACACGCAGTATTGCCGATTCATTTAAGAATTCTAAATTCACACTAGGCATATTCATTGACTTGTCAAAAGCTTTTGATACTGTTAATCATCATATTTTAATAAAAAAGCTAGAGAGCTATGGTATAAAAGATAAAACACTAAATTGGTTCAAAAGCTATCTAAGTAACCGCAAACAATTTGTTTATAACAAAGAATCTTCTTCGCAAATAATAAAAAATATAACGTGCGGTGTCCCCCAAGGGTCCATACTTGGACCACTATTATTTCTATTATCCATAAATGATCTTTACAAAGCCTCTACCCTAACGACCGTAAATTTTGCAGATGATTCAAATTTATTTCAGTCGCACGAAAACATAGAAATACTCTTTAATAATATGAATAATTAATTAAAAAGAATATCATATTGGTTTAAAAAAAATAAATTGTCCTTGAATACGGATAAAACAAAGTTTATACTGTTTCACCCAACCTCTAAAAAAAAGAGAATCCAAAATATCTTACCTGACCTATTCATTGACAATACAATCATAAAAAGAGAAAAATTTACAAAATTTTTAGGAGTCATAATAGATGAAAACTTATCTTGGAGTCAGCAAATTGATAGTATTTCATTGAAAGTTGCTAAAAACATTGGAGTTCTATACAAAGCTCGATATATTCTAAATAAAAAGCAACTAACTTAACTATATTATTCATTTATTCATTGCCATATAAACTATGCCAATATTATATGGGGAAGCGCTCACAAAACCAAACTTAAATCTCTCTATCGGCATCAGAAACACGCAGCTCGCATAATTAATTTTGGAAATCGTTTCTCAAGCTCAACACCACTTCTTATAGAAATGAAAGCTTTAAATATATACAAACTAAATATTTTTAATATTTTATGTTTTATGTTTAAATGTAAAGAAAATTTATCTCCAAGTGTATTTATAAATCTCTATAATTTGAAACCAAAAAACAAATATGAACTTCGTAAAAGTAAAAATATTCTAGAGCCGTTTTGCAAAACAAAAATTGACCAGTTTTGTATTTCTTATCGTGGTCCATTTCTTTGGAATAAAATAGTTTTACCTAACTTTGATTTTTCTTTGAAATGGTCTTATTCCTCCTTTAAAAAGAAAACAAAAGAAATAATCTTTTCAACACAAAATATATTTATTTATTTTTAGTATTTTAAGTTATTTGATATTTTTGTCGACTGTGTGATGAATATTATTTAAACAATATATGCTGAATACTTTTTTATTATAATAATGTTCAATATTGAGAATGTTATATATCCATAATATAAAATATTATGTTAAAACTTGCTTAACATTTGAAGAATATTCTAACGCTTATGTAATTTTTAATATTTGTAAATTTTCTACCTTTTAATTCTTTATATAGATTGTAAAGGGCTTCATGATAAGATCATGTGATCTTCTGGAAGTCCTACCAGTAATATATTCATTGTAAATTTACCTTGTACATATTTTTCTGGGAAAAAAAAACAAAAAAAAACAAAAAAAAAAACAAAAAAAAAAAACAAAAAAAAAAAACAAAAAAAAAACATACCATCCCCACTAAATAAATGGGGCGATCCATAAAGGACGTCGTCTAAATAGGGGGGGGGGGGGGGTCAAGTTAAAAAAGACAAAAAGAGGGGGAAGGTTGTCAGAAAAGGACGTCACTTTATAGATTTTTTATTTTAGTTTAATTAACATGGAAAACTACGTAAACATGTGTTTTTAAGAAGATAATGTATGAGAATATTTTTAATTTTATTTTTCAAAGGTGT